CTGAACAATCCCCATACTTTACTTTTAAAGAAATAGAAACAGTAGCCAAAACAAAAATGAACAAGAACTGGAGGATCCCACCTAAGCACAGTTGGTACAGTGGAGTGAACCCAGGAGGAACTCTGAACATCAGAAATAGACAGCATCAAACAACACTAACAAGATTTAGAACAGGCCATCTCAAGCCATTGAAGATAGAAAATAATAACAAAATTTATCCCACTTGCCAAAATGTAGTTTGGTACCTGCAGCTCCAGAACACATTTTGGCTTGCATTAGATGCACTAAACAGGACCTTTGGGAGAGACCGCTGCTCATCATAAAACAGATCGAGGAGCATGAACTCATGGAATTTGTGTAATCTTTACACAAGGGGATAAGAAACAACAACAACATCCCCATACTTTCCCAAAAGGACCCTTACATTCCTGAAAGATCTCCTTACTTTCCCTGAGAGAACATTATTGAGATATATGTTGTTTCACTGTGGTTTTATTGCCTCTCCCAACTCCCAGAGTGTTGATATGTTCCTTTGATCCGATGTTTGTAACAGAAAGCCTACAAAGAAGAATTACCCTGGGTCCAACTCGGCTACAAGAACCTGGTGTTATTGGTTGAGGAAATGGAGAGGAACCAGATGTTAGTCATCCGTAGGAGCCCTTCAAGTAAGTGTTCATGGTAGTGCTTATCTCCATGGTTAAACCAATTCCTGAAGTGTTCATTCATAGGTTATGTAATTGCCTGGAGAGAAAATAAACGAACGCACGGAATCGTGAAATGAAAGATTTAAGGTTTTATTATTTTGCTGAACTTTTAAGCATTTCTGCCCTTCTACAGTAGAAAATTTTTTCTTATTAAAATTGATATTAAAAACAAAATTGACATTTCCTCTGACCTCTCCCATGAGCATTTTTAGATGGTAGATGGGTGTGATGGTGCAGTGGGACAAGTACTGATGACTTATGGTCCTCCCCCTGGTCAACGGTCCCTAACCCCCACCTCCCCGACTGCTCAGGTAACAAACATTCTAGGGTGGGGCTTAGCATTTAATCCCCAAGTTCAAACTTTACCACAAACTCTAGTCTCTTCTTCTTCTTTCTTATCTCCACTCAATCACACTAAGGTATCAAGCTTGTAGAGCTTGTTGATGGTGTCTGCCGGGGAAGAGTAGAGCTCATCAATGAATGAGTCAATACAGTCAATAATGTCTTTTGGGGTTGCAGGTTGACACCATTCTGGAAAGTTATTGTCCATAGATGACCAGACTTAAGTCTGGAAATCAAAGACTGTTGTTCTCTTGGGAGGACAGAACTGATGCTTGTGCTTCCTGCTCTGTACCAGTCATGTGCAGCATTAGATTTCCATTCCTGCAGGGTTTTGATGGTACAGATGAAGTCTCTCCACAAACTCTAGTAATACAGTGTAACCTCGCTATAACAAACCAATTTTGTTTCACTATGGCCATGAGTTTACTATAGGACATCAGTAATTTGAAAACTCCGCCTTTTCGGTCCCAAGCCCGGATGAAAAAGGAGGAGAGGGAGCAGTAACAAGCTCGCTAAAAACCTGGGTTCAGCTGGCCCGGCTGATAGTACCCTGTAAGGGCTCCTAATCTAAGAATACAGGATGAGCAGCGTTTGTACTCCATGTTAGGAGCGGCTGCACATGGTGTCTGTTCCTCATGTCAGAGGCGGCCATTTCTTTTGGAGCTAAGTCAGTGGCCTGCCACTGAGTAGTGCTCCCAGTCTTAATGACAAAGGCAGACACATTCTACTTCACCCAGTCATGATGGTTGTCAAATACCATCAAGGGTCACAACTTGATACCCTAATATGATTGAGTGGAGATAAGAAAGAGGAAGAAAGAAGAGTAATTTGGAAAGGGGGTCGGTGGATGAATGATTTAAACTGCTGGTTTCTGCCTGCTATGACCAGGGATCAAATCCAGCATTGGGTACTTTTTTTTTTTTCTAAGTAACGACATTCATTTTAAAAAATCAATATCCAGAATTAGATAAGTGATTAGTACAATTATGAGCGTATCAATTATATTTTTAAACACCATTTATTTTAAAAATGATATTTTATACATTGTGTGAGGAAAGCTTCCAGAACATTTTCCTTCTTCTTGTTTTATTACCAAACCACACCGTGTGACAGCTATTTTAATATCAATGTGTTTCCAAACTTGGGCAGAAAGAAAATCTCTCTAAAAAGCTCCTAATTTTATAAATTAAAATAGTGCTAGGGGGGTCGGTGGAAATTTGGTTAAACCGTTTGGTTTTCGACCATTATGACCCGGGTTCGATGCCCGCATTGGACACTTTTTTCTGTTTAAAAAAATAAAATGCTCCAATGGCCTCCGATTCTTGCAAAATTCCAACCCCACCAGCGAGTGCAAGTAACCAAACGGGGCTCTGGCACATTTTTAAGTGCAAAGTCGAACTGCTTTTCACATGTGTAGACACGTGGTGCGCTTACAGTAAAAAGCAGTCGCCTAACTACCCACCATGATTATCATGGCCTGTATTACGTGTACTAGGGATAAGGAAAAATAGTGCTAAATCTTTCTCTTAATATAATCAATAGTATATCCTGGGAGGTTGGTGAATGAGTGGTTTAAACCATTTGTATTAAAATGCTACAACCCAGGATCAACTCCCACATTGGGTATTTTTTACTGATTAAAAAAATGCTCCATTGGCTTCCGATTCTTGCAAAAGTCCAACCTCCAGTGAGTGCAAATAACCAAACAGGGCTCTGGCACAATTGAAAGTGCAAAACTGCTTTTCACATGTGTAGTAGACAAGGAGTGCATTTACAGTAAAAGCCAACTTCTACCCACCATGATTTTCTTGGCATGTACCACATGTATATATATGTTATAAATAAAGATGAATGAGATTTCTGTTGTATTTTGGAATTATATTGAGGATTATGCTATGGAATTATTTTCTGTTTTTTTTTTAGGACTAAATGGTATTGGTAATGCAACCGTGGTTAAAATCTTTAAAGTATGATAATTAAAATAATTTAGATCAGTAATTTAATTGAACTAAAGGAATATATATATAAAATACATAATTTGGTAAAAGTAATGCCTGGTTTAAGGCGAGTAGAATAAGGAAAACAAAAGATTATTTACATAATGTACAAAAGTTTTGAGCCGGCCATTGGGATAAAACAACAACAAGTTTTTATAGGGGAAGAGTGACCTCTGGCGGTCGATTTAGCAGAGTATTTGGATCTATGAAATATAATTTTTTTTTTAAATAGAATAATATTTTAATATAACATATATATATATATATATATATATATATATATATACTAGGGATAATAATAGCATTTCCTTGGGTGAAATTGTCAAATTTTTCCAATTGAGCTATTTCTATTGCAGAGACAGACCTCTGCCAAATAACTCTGTTTGCCTTTTAATTAATCAAGCCAAATTAAACTAGTTTTTCCCCACACACAAAAGTGAAATAAGATTAAATACAGTAGAACCTTCTTGTAAAGGGCATCTAATTGCAGAGCCAAAATGTCCTTTAGGGAGAGGTGTCCTCTTACCGGAAAAGTATCAAAATAGTAAAAATGATAATTTTGTAAATGAAAACTGTTCTTTGTAGAGAGGTATCCTCTAATGTGAGTGTCCTCTTGTGGTTTATGTTTTGGTAATAGTGTTGTTACCATCTTTAGACAGTTCTGTTATGTCACATAAATGACTTGGTGTGTGTAACCTCTTTCATTCAACACTCATTGTAAATCAGTTTTCAAATCCCAACGAGAATACTCTTATTAAACTCACTTTATTTCAACAAACACCTTTCCTTTGGGGTGCTGAATTAAAGAGGTTTGACTTTATTTAGATTCAGTCTTATTACCTTGTGATTTTTTTTTATCCCTAATCCAACTCTTTATGCTTCTTTCTTCACTATGCTATTTCATCCACCGCAGGTGTGATTGAATTGTCTCACAATCGGGGGGTCGGTGGAAGGCTGGTTAAACCGTTTGGTTTACGACCATTATGACCCGGGTTCGATCCCCGCATTGGACACTTTTTTCTGTTTAAAAAAAAAAAAATGCTCCAATGGCCCCCCGATTCTTGCAAAAGTCCAACCCCACCAGCGAGTGCAAGTAACCAAACGGGGCTCTGGCACATTTGTAAGTGCAAAGTCGAACTGCTTTCACATGTGTAGACATGTGGTGTGCTTACAGTAAAAAGCAGTCGCTAACTACCCACCATGATTATCATGGCCTGTACCACGTGTACTAGGGATAAGCAAAAAAAAAAAATTTCTATATCGCTAGTTCCATGAGAGACTGATAGCCCAGAAACTCCTCAAAATGGTGGTTGAATCATCAGACTAAAGAAATACAACTGAATCCATCGAATCAACAGCACATAGTGTTTGTATGGCAAAACATGGAAGAACTGGAGAGAAAGTCAAAACACAAGTTGAATTCAAAATTACTTGAATTGGGGATTTACCTATTGAGAACAACTAAATTGTTCTGGTATTGAACAACTAATTTACAGTCACAAGTATGTGGGTGTGTATGCACTGAAGTATTTCTCTATTCTAGCTAGAAGTTCCTATAAGAGGAATTAAGTTGACTGTAAAACACAACAGAAATGAAAGTGCTATTTAACTCAAGACAAAACGTGAACCCCCAACGAAGCAAGATGGTGGTACAGCTGCTGCCACAGTGGGGAGGTGGGGACCAAACAAAGACCTCGTGGTCCCCCCAGAGTGACCTGGAGAGTGAAGAAGATTGGGATGACTTGGAGAAATGGAAGAAGGTGGAAGAGACTCCGCCTCAGGTGAGTGCTCCTAGCCAGCACGGTAGTCCTGACATTTATTTATTCTACAAGTTTGTATGGAGTTGTTATCGCTGGCACATTTGGGTCAGAACATGCTGGATGAGACAGAAAACCTTACAATGTGTGATCACGGTAATAAACTCTTCAAGACTTTCATTACTAGAACCTAAAAAAGATGGTCAGAAGTGAGATTCAAACCCACACCTAAAAGAGTAGACTGCGACCTGAACACAGCGCCTTAGCCCGTTCAGCCATCCTGTCAGAACCTATTAAAAATGTTCCAGCCATTTTTCCATACTCTGATAAACCATACAACTCTGAAATATAAATTTGATTTTGAAAAATAAAAAAAATTCTAGAATCAAATTTATGATCTTATATTTAATATAAAAAAATTTTCATCTTTCAATGCAACCTCTGAGCTAAAGAAACAACACACACTGATTGGCTAATGAACTCATCACTGAATACATGGCAGTGAATCAAGACACAAATAAAATGGATGTATCTGCCTACATACAGTAGAACTCTAAAGGACACTTAGCTACAGAGCTAAAGCAGAGAGATGTTTTCTTATCGGAGAATAACTAATTGCTATAAAAATAATAATTTTGACAATGTAAACTGTCCTTTGTATAGAAATGTCTCTATCGGGAGTGTCCTCTCATGGAGGTTCTTGTGTATATATGTATATAAGCCTAAAGGCCTATATCACACAGCGGTATGCAGTTCTCTTTATTATGTTTTGAAAAAAATTCCAAATCAAAAGGAGGCATAACTCGGATAGGGCGTACCACACCTCTATAGCCCGTCAGTCAGTCAGGAAGGAAACCCTGCTTGCTGCGGCAGAAGGAGCCTCCTCCAAAGTGGGGCGGTGTGGACCGGTTGAAAGCCCGCATTGAAGCTGCACCCCCTCAATGGGGCTCCCAGAGTCCATTACCACCCTCTAGAACCCTGAGAAACCAAGGGGCATTTGAAGGCCCAATGAAAAAACCACAAAAGGTGAGTGGAAGCATTTGAAAGCTTCAAAAATATTTAGCTCAAAAATAAACACAAAAATCATACATGTATCAAACATATATGTTCAAGACAAAACAACCCTCTTATATACATATGTAATGAGAACAAGAGCATAACTAGCAAGAATCATGGTTAAACATAGCTCTTCTAGCTTGGTTCAAGAACCTCTCGAACTAAACCATGCAATATACATTTACCTGAAATTAGCTACAGTTTTTGTTCAATTGTGTGTATGCAAGCTCAAGAAAGAGTTTTTAACAACTAAATCAAATTCTATGTTATGGATGGCCTTTAAATGTGAAGTTGCAAACTAACTTTCTCACTATTAAGTCAATGTGAGCAAAATGTAAAACTGCCAAGTTAACACACTTCTAATCTTCACTAACATAAAAGATGTATTGTCTTCTTTCCACAGAATTGATGAAGAACGTGTTTGTGTGATCAACAAATCCATTAGAATTACCTCCCAAAGTGTTAAAAGATTTAAGAAGAACAATTTCAAAAACTGAAAGAAAAGAAACTCAAAGAAAGAAAAAATCAATATAATGATACAAATATATATACATATATCCATAGAAGCATAGGGCGCCTCTCCCATCAAAATAAACGTCAAAAACTGATGCCATCTATTGACCGTCGCCGCAACTAGCGGCCTCGGGTCAGTGACAAAGCCACAACACCAGCTTTGGCAAACTGAGAATCATCCACCTAGAGACCATGGTTTCGGGCTAACCACGTTTATTTTGACGGGAGAGGCGCCCTATGCTTCTATGGATCAATTTCCTCCCGGCAAATTTTCCATCTATATATATATATATATAAAGCTATTCATGCTACATTCATGGCTCATATTGCAAGAACAAAGAGATGGGGATGAGCCTGCCAATCTTCCATTGAGTAGGAAAGTGACTGCAAGTGAAACATTTGAGGAAGAATGCAGGCCAAAAATATAAACTACCTTTAGTGCAGTAACCAGCGATGAGGCAGCAAACCTCTTATTGTTTAAGAGAAGTTGGTGAAGTAGTAGTAAATACCCTTTATTTTCAGCAAACATGTCCCGTAGTTGAATCCCACATTAGGCAACTTTTTTTCTGCCTCAATGGCCCCAGATTCTTGGACAAGTCCAACCCACCAGTGTTCAACTGCTTTCTACATGTGGTGCATCTTACAGTAAAGGTCAGTTGTCAACTATTCACCCTGGTTATCACGGCCTGTACCATATGTACTTGGGACAAGTAATTTTGGGAAGGGTAAAGAAAATAAGAACATAAATTAGAAAATAATTGCAATTTTTTTACCTTCAAATAAAACAGGTTTTTGTTGTTTCTTATCCCTTTGTGTAAAGATTAAACGAATTCCATGAGTAAGTAAAACATACAGAATTAAAGCTATTCATGTTAAAATCACCTAAATCTGATTCTGTTTATGGTTTTTTTGTTTAATGTTGTTGTTGTCTCCAATGATGTCTCCATACATCACAGCAGTCGCAATGTCCTCTATCTTGGGTGTGTAAAGCTACTTTTCTGGGTCTATGTCAATTTTCTGTTGTTGTTGTTGTCGTCGTGTCCAATGAAGAGCCTCAGATGTCTCTATATCTCTATCACAGCAGTCGTAATGTTCTCTATCTTGGTGTGTAAAGCTGCTGTTCTGGGTCCATGTCAATTTTCTGCAAGGCTGCGCCCATTGCTGGGCATGAGAATATGTGGGTAGGTGTTAGTTCCACACTTAGGACAATTGTTGCATGTTCTATAGGATCTCTTTTGCCATCTGGATGTATTGTTTTGTTTAATGTCCGGGGAAATTTAAAAAGGCACAATGATTTGTTTTATTAATGAACAGATGTTTCATATATGTTTGAGATCACCATGTAGCAGAAGGGTTTTGTTTGAAAGATTCCAAATACAGTAAAACCTCCCTTGTAAATGACAACACCTATTTGCAGAGCAAACTGTCCTCTTGTTGGGGGGTTGCTAATTAGTAAAAATTGTAATTTTGGCAATGAAAACTGTATAGAGGTGAGACTTCTATAGTGGATTGTCCTTTCATGGAATTTCTATTTTATTTGAGCATCAGGTCATGATTTGAATTCCAGTTCATTGATTCTTTTAACCAAGTATCTTGCAACTTCTCAAATTCCACATTAAACACTTTACTTTAAATATTTTAAAATCCTCACCAATTCAAGTAAACCATATTTTCCAATCTCAAGCTCATCTAGTGACCTTCCTGTAGCTTTCACGACCCTTTCCAGCCCATCAGGGAGGTTATACTCTATATAAATCATGAACACTACCTCAGAAGACCTTACTACAAGATGCAGTAAAACCTTTCTGTAAAGGACACCTAGTTGAAGAGCAAAAGTGTCCTTTATGAAGAGGTGTCCTCTTACCGTAGAGTTGTTAAATAGTATAAATGGTAATTCTGCCAATGAAAACTGTCCTTTGTAGAGAGGTGTCCTCTAACCAGAGTGTCCTCTCATGGAGGTTCTACTGTATTTAAAACTATTTTAAAGTATGAAATTTTCTTTTTATAAGTAAAACAACTTTCTATTGACTGACCTGGCTCATGAGTGCTGAATCCACCCAGTGTTTTCGCCAGTTTAATCTTCCAGCTGGCTTTAATATTTAGTGGGGCTGTATTACTTATATATCTGGCATGGTTGAGGAATTCTTGGCAAATGGTATTTAAAGAACTATGTACATGAAGTCAAGTAGAAATTTATACAAATATAGTCTACTACATTGATAGAATGGAACGATAATAGAAAATATTAGATGATAAGAGGGCTTGGCTCTCTCGTTGTTTTGCCTTATTAATCTCAAGACTGCTCTAGTACTAAGGCCTGTAGTTTTGTGAGGATTTATATAATAAGAAATATACACCTATCCCCCGATTTACACGGTACTTGTTTTACACGTTTTCGCTTTTACACGGTTTTCCAAATAATTTTTTTTTTGTTTTTATCGCACTATACTAAATGCTACTGTGATTGAACACATGCGCTGTGTACACATCTCACGAGGAATCCCGAGCTTATGTGCTGACTACATATTTTAACCTGTCAATGCATTTTATTTTTATTTCTGTGTACATCTATCCCCCGATTTACACATTTTTCTCAGGAACGTATATACCGTGTAAATCGGGGGATAGGTGTACTTGCATTAAAAAATGTTTAAAATTTATTCACTAGATGGCACTCAAATATATTTAATTCAAAAGTATTAATATATACAAAAATATGCGCTATGCATCATAATATAATTGTTCAAATAAAAGACTCAATTTAAAGTTTGCGAAAAAACAATTGCTCGAAGCATATTATATATTTATAATTGTATGTAATTCTGCTGTCCTCAAAGCTTATGTCCATAGTTCATCTAAAATACCCATTCCAAGAGTCTAGCATCAGTATCACTATAAAAGGAAGTTCCAAAAATGTAATATAACAGTGGTATGGTAGATTAAACTGGCGAAACCTCTGGGAGGGTTCACCACTGATGACCCAGCCCCTCCCATTAATATTTTCATTGCAGTAAGGGCAGTAGATATTGTTTAATTTTCAAAAGAATCATACGTGTCTATAATAGTTGTTGGATCCTATAGTTAATAAGTTCCTTAAATTCAATTTTATATATGAAAATTAAGCCAAAATATTCTAAATTCAATTGTACAATATAAATCTTTAATATGTAAATTTTAAAGCAATCAACATGTATGTAAATTTCTAGTTTGGTTAATTAATAGCTTTTTTGTTTTCTCTCTCTCTCTACCACTAGTATCAAAATCTAAGTCAATTTCATGTATTCTAAATTCATGTGGTAGCTACTCATAACTCTAAAACCAAAGACAATAAAATAATTCAAGACAAGTGGCAAAGTGCTTCTTAGTATCTTTTACTGAACATTCAAGCCACGAACATTATGGTCCCTCATCGAGCCGGATACTTTAAAAAATTAAGGTAAGCCATTTGAAAACTTAAAATTCTTAAAATAAAGTCATGCCCAAATCAGAAGTTAAAATTCGGCACAAATTCAACTTTATTATTCAGGAAATAAAGGATCTGGAATCAGAGAATAAAGCTATTGTAGAATCCAAAAACATACATGGATTAAAGCTATTCCAACAAGAAGTTAATGAAAGGAAAATTAGCCTAAATCAAGTTATCAACACATTATTAGAATCAGAGTTAGATGATACACAATATGACGATTATTCAAAGGCCAAGAAGGATATTTTTA